TTTTAATTCATAGGTTGTTTCTTTCTAAAGAATTGGCATGTGCTTTATCTAACACACCTCACTGTCCATTTTATTTTTGGAAAGTCATGCAAATTCCTAAAATTTGTGGCTTCTTTCAAGGTGATTCCTTCCCTTCTGGCTTCTAATCTTTCTAATGTGGATCCAGTAGTCTGAATACACATGACATAACATACCTCCTCAAGCTAAGTATGTATAAATCAGATTAATAGCAAGAAGGAAAATTACACAAAAATCTTATGCATGCTATTTTGAGCTTTATAAAGGAAGAAAACTATGTCTACTAAAATCTGATTTTAATTTTAAAAGGTAGGACTTTTATTCACTATTGAATTTTCCTTAGGTGCATTAAGAAATACTTACAAATGCTTCTTCTTTAGTAGTGTCATCGTTATATTTTTTTCAGCTAACTAAAGTTCTCAAATATCACAGCCTCAATTAAAGACTTATTCATTCTAAAATATATATCTGCTTTAATAATTTTAAATCAATGCTAAATGAATAGTAAGTAATATTAGCATTCATTGGGCTAAATGGAAGGTCAAGATCTCATGAGAAATCAGAACAATACAAAAATAGTTTTGATCCACTAGAAAAGGAGAGAGATAATGTAATATCTCCTGCACAGTAGAAATAGTTTAAATTATTAAATAAAAGTCCACAAAGAAGTGGGCAAGCTTTCAAATCCATTAGAACTCTCTAAGCTGAATATTAAATAAAAATTGAATAAAAAGGCTGAGTGTAAAGGACAGCATGAGACTCTTCAGCAGAGAATAAAAAGGCCACACATTTTAATTATATTACTATAATTAAATTAATTAATTAAAATGGAAAAAAGGAAGTATGCTTGATTCAAAAATAGTTTAGCATTATTAGCCACATTCAATATGTATCAGTCTAAAAGTATTTTAGGTTGTATCAAAAATTGTCAGCACAACAAACTGAAAATATAATAGCCCAATTATTTTGCTTTGTCTCTACCAATGATAGCAACATAGGATCTTTGTATAACATGAACTTGTAAGGGAGATCAGCAGGAATACATTTCTGAATGTTAATCATGAGTGCCCCATTACTGTCCATTTGTCTATTCTTTTTTACGTACAATTCAGTTTACATTGGCATAATTGGGTTTTACATTATCTCTTGGTTTTATTATTTTTATTGGTTATACTGTAAACAGGAGACTTTTGAAGAGTCTGGTAGTGTATAAATACTGGAAATAATGAAATGAAATCAGTAAAATAAAAAAAAATATGGTGCCTATATTGACCATATCTTATTTAACAAGTTTAAGATATTAAAATGTGCCTTTTCCACAAAGTAGAGCAAATTGTATCACCTCATTATGTATCAGTGAATTAAGAAGAAAGCTTTTCAGTTAAGATGAAGATTTCTTGAAAGCTTAAAGACTGGCACATTTCATTTTGGAAACTGATCACTTACACATATCCAGGATTCTGTACTCTAACTATCTTAAAGTTGGAGTGGAACTTAAAACAGAAATGAATGTATATGCAGTGGTTCAAATACTGAAAGTATCACTTCCATCCATATAGTAGCTAACCTAGCCTAAAACAGTCAATGGGAAAAACAAAGTTCTCTTCAATAGTCAGGATCTGCCTAGAGTTATTCTAGTGATGAGGCAGCAGACAGGAAGGTAGTTAAGAAGGTAATCCTAAATGGGAGAAAAAGGCCTTAGAAGAAGTAATTGCTTTGTTTTGTTTTTGCTATGGAATAAATCACTATATTTTCTCCAAAAAAGTACAATGTCTAAGATCTGTACACTGTATAACACAAGTGCATTCACCAAAGCCAGAACACACACTCTTGATATAAACATATTCTAGGAAGCAATGCACACCACAACCCTTAATGAAAGTACACCCTCAATATATATTGCAGATGCATACTGATCTACTACCTGTAGATTCAGCATACATCTTTATACACATTTTACCATGTTAAATATACCATCCTACAAATCATAAGAAGTGATTGTTTAAACACTGGTGTGTGTGTGTGTGTGTGTGTGTTGTGTATTTAGGAGAGTACATCTTCCTATAGGAAAGTTCCACTAAGTGCTTTTAACTGCAAATAAATTTATTAATAGCAAATTACAGACGGCAATATTTTCTCAGGGTACAAGCTATAAAATCCACAAAATCTGTTTGATAACAAATACATTATGTAGATTATGGGGGCTGCACAATGTTATTTTTAAAGTGACACCACAGGTAACCCCAGAATGCTTTTCCCTATTAGAAATGAAAAATTTTCTATGATTTACATTTTTTAATCAAAAAGTACTCTGCATTTTAGTGAGAGAAGGTGTTTCTGATAGCAACACCTCAATTATAAAATTTTCTCTCAAAGGTGGAATAGTGGCATTTAAATGGGAAGTGAAAACAATTTTATCTCCCTGATTTTTATAATGTAATATAATTAAAGGTTTCCAACTCACATCTGAATTTTAGTTAAGTTATGGCATTTGATTTGTTTTTGTTCTGCTATTTAAACTGCTTTTGGTCTCCTCTTTAGTGCTGTAAAGCAGTTTAACAAATACTTTCATGAAAGAATAAATAAAATATATTTAAGAAACAATCTGATAGCTTAAATTTTGCTACAACTACCTGAATTTGTACACACCTGCTGTTCTTTGATAACAAACCAAGGCTGGAGCATCTTTCAGGAGTAGTTTTGACTGTGTCCTCCTCAACGTACCTTCTGACCCTTCCTGAGAATCCGACCAAGACTAGGATTCATCACAACTATTGCTCCAAACGTGGAGCCAGAATATTTTGTGTGTGTGGAATAATCAAAAATTGTCATCAGGCACTGCAGAAATCTCCTTGTTCTTGAATGGTTTTACACGTTTGCCTAAGAAACAAACACACGTCAAGTACTAGGATGAGTTGTGCGAAACAGAACTGGGATTAATGGCAGAACATTTGTGTAGAAGAAAAATATACATTGTGTTTTTAAGTGTTTTAAACAAATACAGTGTTTTTCTACTAAAACAAATGACAAAAATATTACTCTTCAAATTCAATATATTAATATAATTATGTTGCAAATATCAAGAAGAGCTTTTAAATTGAAGTCAAATAGGTCATTCATTTAATTGATATAATGATACCCAACAGATAATGGGTATACAGAAGACAAAATTAATGTTATCTTTTCTAAAAGGGCCCAATTAGCATATAATATTTTGGAATATCATAGAGAGAAAATTCAAGATATATATGAGCAATAATCACAGTATAAGATAGAGACATGTACAGTAGATTGAACTAAAGGAATTCAGCTACTAAAACCTTTACACTGGAAGTTAAAAACAAACATCAATAAATAGCTAAATTAAAAAACAGTATTTGAGTTTTGAGTCAGGGTAAGCAGTAATTACAAAATTCAGTCAGGTATCCAATTCAGTAATTCAGAAAGCATTCAGTTTGCTTCAGACATACTTGGAGCTTGACCAACTCAACTCACGGCTGAATCCAAAACTCAGATTGGAAATCTGAAACTCTGTGTTTATAACTGATTGTTACTGAAACACAACTAATATCGTAGTGATGAGCTTTCAGGCTGAATGGTTGTGGTCTACTTTTCTATTGGTCTTGTGGTTTGCCAACAGCTGTAGATGGCATAATCAGAGACAGACTGAGTTACTTTATGGTGTACCTCTCATATGTTGCTTTATAGTTTAGATAAAACTTGCAGTCATAGACTTTTCTAAAGAGATAACGTCTATCTGCCAGCAAGAGGCATTTTCCCATTTGTGATATGATTCTTATTTTTAAAAAATGTTAATACCACCTGAAGAAATTAGGAATCACGGTTACCTCTTCTAAGTTTATATAGCTTACCAAATTTAGTGTAAAGAGCTACAGATGTTTATGTGAGCATCCAGCAAATGTTTTCCAACTAATTTTTGAACCTACACTCTATCTCTGTTGCCTTGAATGGAACTTTCATGCCTATCATTTTAGCAACAATCTATTTTTACCAAGCAATCCCTGATCTACCAAGAAATATAGTTCCTATTTTATATCATGGAATTGTATTTGAACAGCATAGTGCAAAATACAGTGTTGAATCACTGTCCTTTTTATGGCAACTAAATGGAAGAAGGATGGAGGAAGGCATGCAATCCTGCCTAACGCCTTGTGCACATAATTCCAATTAATGCAGGCAAGGCCCTTCACTGAAGCTCCAAATATCAGGTGAAGAACACCATCTGTCCTCTATCACTGAGTCAGCACTTTCTTTGGCTACCCTGGGGTGGTATAATTGTTGTGCTAAAGGTGATACAAAATAACCATGCATAATGTACAATAATAGACTACAAGCTCTATTGAGCAGCCAAACCTAAACAATCTCCATCTGGCCAAATTTTTTGTCATCCAATGGCAGTGCAGATGGGGATCCATTTCACTCTTTAGAGCTACGATTCCCTGGTTCCAGGTTTAACTGTTGTGGTCTGCCAAAAATTCTAATTTTGTTTATTGAGAAAAAATAGGCTAAGAGAGGACTGTTCCTGCTCCTTCTACTTTACAACAGCATTTTTATTATTGCATGATGATTTCTTAGCTCCTTACAAGACAGACATGAACAGCATTCTCAAGGACAGGAACAGTCAAGTAGGTGTGCAGTATTTATGTTTTACAGTACAGGCAGGTATTGTACCTGAGGTGCAATGAAGTGATCCCTTATAAAATCCCAGTTCTTATATAGAGATTCAAAATCACTGCCTTTGCCACAAGAGTAATGAGGCAGAATTAAAAGGGACACCTGAGATTGCTGCCTCTGCCTGCTACTTCCAACACTTGCCACAGAAATACTACTGTCTCTTTCAAGACAATGAGTAGCATATACTCCATCACATCAGAGGGCTCTTCTGGGATGACACTTAGTTGCCACACATTTGTTCTACTGCATTTGCCATAAATTAGTTACTGCTGCTTGTTTCAAAAAAGGTTCCTCTCTGGAGTAGAAATTGAATGGCTGATACTAGCTACTAAGAGTAGGGATCCCATGGCTGTGAGAACTATATACAGCAAATACTGTCCCATTTGTAGTTTTCCATCACCTCATACCAAAATAGTGAAGTTTCTATGATTGCTCCAAAGTACTATTTAAATACAGAGATGTGCTCAGTTAAAAGTCTTTTTGTCTTTTTGATGACAAATAGATTGGCTGAGGATAAACAATGTCAGCTGCAACACTGCCTCTGCCTCATAGGTACCACTTATTATGCTACCATGAATCTGCTTTCTGAAATGCAGATAATTCACACCCAATACACGGTAAGTAAAAAGATCACAGTGAAATCAAACAGCAAAGTAAATTATATAATACATTTGCACACAGTAGTAAAACACAGAACTGAAAACTCAATTTAAAATAAAACAGCCTGTAGAACGAGGACCAAAATTGGGCAAGATGAGTAACAGGAAAGGAAGTGACATTAAATCTACAAGTAGGTTCTAGAGAGATACAGCACAGACAGTAGCAACAATACATGAAACTTCTAGAAGCAGAATGAGGTAACTAAAGTAACACACTGGAATGAGAAAAGACTGAATCAGTTGGAAAAATAAGAAATCTGAAGATACACCTGCTGCAAAGGCATGAAAGATTTCCCAAAGTAATATAATATAATTATATTGCTTGCCCTTCCAGCCTCCCTGGGTATAGACAGCTGCTACAGACTAATATGACTTCTTTTTTATATCTTTCTATTCCTTTATCACATCCATTCCTATCATAAAATGCTGATTAAATAATGATGGACAATCAAATTACTGAAGAGAAATCCTCAGATTTTGGTTAATCTCAGTGTGCAATCCTAAACCTGTGAATGCAACCATGATTCCCAGGTTAGAGAGAACTATCGTGTAAAACATAATTGAGCTGTCTTCCACATCAAGAGAATGTCCAAGCAGAAAGGCGGGACAAAAAAGCCTAGGATTTAAACTCTGGAATGCAGACCTAGGCTTTGATTTCATTCCACTCCAAAGGGCAAACCATCTGTTGTATATAAGGCTTTGTCCTTGTCTAGAGTAAAGATTAACATTATAATTTTTAGTTTATATTAATTTTTAGTTTTATTAATAATTATTATAGGTTTATGTATTGTTATTGTAGTATTTTCTGGCCTAAAGGCGATAATATAAGTTTGATTTGATTTATATATATCAATGTATGTCTGAGAGTTTTCTGCCAAAAAAAGCCAATTGCTGAATAAAATATTAAGGGTCTGGAGAGCTAAGTTGTATTGCTATGTCCTGGTATGAAGCTTGACAGGTTAACTCCCATTGCTATGGTGGGGGACATATTGCCTAGAGATCAAGGATTAAACTACAGATACACACCCCCTTACTACCTACTAAAAGTTGATCAAATTGTTAATGCCTTTGTTCAATATCAGAACGAAGTGGTGAGCATGGAGCTGTTGATGGAAAAGCTACAGTTGTAGCTCTTCAACAATGCATACTAGCCTCTTTTGTTTCTCAAACTTTCTTGGTTCACAGCAACCTTAGTGTCACAAAGATATGATGTCACAAAACCTAGCTTCACAAATGGACATTGCAAAAATTTTAAATATCCCCTGGTGCCCCGTGAGTTCACTGTAGTGCCCCATGGCACCACAGCACAGTTTGGGAACTTCAGCCTTAGAAATATGATAGAATCTAAGCAAATTTACTGCCTCCCTCACTCTATATAAAGATTACATTTCCCAGAGAACAGATGACTTCCTCAGTGAACAAACGCACAAGTTTTGTAAGTAGCACATAACTGAGGGAGATGTAAAATGGGGAACTCTCCTTCTGATTCAGAACACCATACATTTGCACATCTACACCTATTTTGTGGCAAGCCTGAGAGCTAACTTGAACAATCCAGTCGAACAAGTGACTGCCAACTGCGAAATCTGTCACTTACAACAAAGTAATTATTCACTGCCCAAGAATGCTATTAAGTTTCAGCTGTTGGCTCAAGACGTGGTATGGAATAAAAGAGGCTTTATTGACCAGTTTGAAGAGGGCATCCCAGACCCCACGGCAGCTTTCATCCAAGTGCGCATGGGTACTAAGGAGATTTAAGGCATTGTAGCAGAATATGGACATAAAAGAAAGGTGCCACTATGCTCTGCTCTTTCTTTCCACCTACCCTTCCAAACCCACAAAGCTGAGACTTCAGCAGTTGAAACTACAGAGCTGGAATCTAACAGAGTGACTCAGCTATTTGCTCAACAAAATTTGAACCACTGCACATAAGACCTATGTCTATATTGTGGATAACCTTTCACTTCAAAATGAGTGTCCTATTAAAACTCCCCTCTCTGAAGCATTAGCAATGTATTATACTTGTGAAACTCCTTCCCAGTTGATCTAATCCATACTCAGGAAGAGCAGAATCTATATATTCAGACTCAGAGAGGACCTTGGGTTGGGACTTTGCCCTCTTACTCTCCCTTACCTGGAAACAGGTAGAATTGTGCCACAACTTCTGGTTAGAACTCCCACTTTCTTTAGGAAGGAAGGGTTGCAGCTCTGTCACAATAACTGGTCAGATTAACATTCTGGAATATTTAAAACGACTCAGCTCCTCATCTATGACTTTGGTGATTTTTCATTACAGCAGATGTTGAGGCCTATGTTTCTTCATTACACACTTATTGCCATGCTGAGCCTCTGATAACAAGCCATCTGTCCTGCTTATCCCTTTCCTTCCCTACAGGGTCTCAGGGTACAGTTTCCTTGAAATTTATCATCAATGGCCTGACCACATATTTTTGTGGTAGTTTTTTTAATGGCCCATTTCATTCCCTGCAGTTGTCTCCCCTCCATCACTGAGACAGTTGTCTGTTC